GTGGTGTAGTACCTAAGGCATTTGACTGCTAACCAGAAGGCTGGCTATTCAAACCCACCAGCCACTCCTCAGAAGGAAGGTTGGGCTATCTACTTCTGTAGTGATACTGCCTCAGAAACCCAAAGTTGGGTCACTATGAGTCAGATTTGACTCATGGCAGTGAGTTTGGTGTAGTTTTTTGGTTTTATCGTATTCATGTTCATGGACTGGAAGACTCAGTGTGGTAAAGCTATCAATTCTCCCCGAAATCACAAATTCAGTACAATTCAACCAAAATCCCATCATGTTTTTCCCCCTGAAATTGATAAACCAAAACAAACAAACTCACTGCCATCAAGTTGAATCCAACTCATAGCAAACCCATTGGGTTTCCAAGGCTGTCAATCTTTACTGAAGTATACTGCCTCATCTTTCTTCCATGGAGAGGCTGGTGCATTCAAACCACTGAGCTTTTGGTTAGCAGCCAAATGCCTTAACCACTATACCACCACAGCTCTTTGAAATTGATAAGCTGATTCTAAAATGTATCTGGAAATGCAAAGGACACACCACTTATATAAAGTACAAAAACACAGAAAAAAACTAGGGGACTTCCTGTCCTAGATATCAAAAACCAGTATCAGTTTAGCAATTTAGACAGTGTGGTACTGGTGCAAGAATAGACAAACTAATGAAACAGAACAGAGGCTAGAAACAGACCCACATACAGCCACCTGATTGGTGACAATGCGATGCAATGGGAAAGGGTAGTCTTTTCGATTGCATAGAACCTGAAGGAAAATTACATCTTGACCTCTTAGTTTCCTGTGGCTGTTATAACAAATTCCCACCAATTCAGTGACTTCACACAACAGAACTTTATTACCCCACCATTCCAGAGACCAGAAATGTCAAGGTCAAGGGGGATCCTTCCCTCCGGAGGCACTAGAGGAGCTTCTGGTGGCTGCCAGCATTCCTTGGCTTGTGGCTGCATCTCTTCAATCTTCAAGGCTACCATCTTCAGACCTCTCTCTGCTCCCTCTTCTCATGGCCTTCTGTGTGTGTGGGTGGGTGGGTGACAAATTTCCCTCTGCCTTCCTAAACGCAATGACACTGAGCCCACCGGCATAATCCAGGATAACGTCCCATCTCAAGACCCTTGACTTAATCACACCGCAAAGGCTTTGCCATATCAGGTAACACTTACAAGTTCCAGGTATTAGGACATAGATCTCTTGGCGGAGAGCATTTTTCAATCTCATGCCATAAACAAAAATAAATTCTAAATCTAAATGTAAAAGATTTAAGCAATAAATAGAAGAAAACACAATCCAGTATCTTCATGACCTTGGAGCAGGCAAAGGGCCTTAAACCAAAAGCAAAACACTAACCATAAGAAAAAGAAGCAGCAGCTAAATTGGACTATATTAAAATTAAACACTTCTGTGGTAACGTAGTGCCAAAGACACTTGATTGCTAACCAGAAGGCTGGCGGTTCAAACCCACCAGCCACTCCTCGAAAGGAAGGTTGGGCAATCTACTTCCATAGAGATACCGCCTCGGAAACCCAAGGAGGGGTCGCTATGAGTCGGGGCCGACTTGACAGCAGTGAGTTTGCTTTTTATTATTATTATTATTCAACAGTCACAAAAAAAACTTTTTGAAGTGAAAAGGCAATCCACGGAATGGGAGAAGAGACTTACAACACATACACAGAGCAAGGAACTACACAAAATACAGAAAGAACTACAAAGTGTGTGAAAAGACAGACAACGTGTCTCAGTTCTCTAGTGCTGCTATAGCAGACATATCACACGTATGCAGCTTTAACAACTGCGGTGCCGTGAGTTACTTGGTATGGCCTTTCTAGCCATAGTCTTTGTAACTCCCACCAGATTACTGGGTGGGACCATACAAATAAGGTGTGTAGAATGCTGATGTTGGGATTGGTTGGTTTTGTCACTCTGCCAGGCTTAAAATGAGCTCTGGTAGCGTAGTGCCTAAAGCACTTGACCGCTAACCAGAAGTCTGGCTGTTCAAACCCACCAGCCACTCCTCAGAAGGAAGGTTGGGCAATCTACTTCCGTAGTGATACTGCCTCGGCAACCCAAAGAGGGGTTGCTGTGAGTCAGATCTGACTCTACAGCAGTGAGTTTTAGAGCAGAGAGGGGGATCTCCTTGCCATCGAGAGAGAGGAGCTAGAGGTGAAGTGGAGCCCATCCTTGGACCCAAGATCTCTGCACTGGGCCTCCTTGGCTGAGATGCCCCACCAGGGACGCCCCACCAGGGACACCCGAGCAGAGACGCCTCAGCAGGGACGCCCCAGCAGGGACGCCCCAGCAGGGACGCCCCAGCAGGGACACCCGGGCAGAGACGCCTGACTGAGAGATGGCGGCAATGGAACCAAGAGGCACAAGACAGAGCAGCAGCTTGCCTGCCCCACAGAGCAAGAGAGCTGAGTGCCCGTGGGCGGGAGGCTTGCTGGCAGAGTGGGGTGTACACAGGTGTACCTATTGGCAGAGCTAGAGAGCTTTGTAACACACTTGCCCGAGTAGGGCAGGGCCAGAGAGGCCAAGGGCCAGAGAGGCGAGCCTGAGGGCTCAGCAGAGGGGAGACTGTCCTGACTGAAGAACTGTATCCTGAGCACGTTCCTGAACCTGAATGGTAGCCTGTTACTTCCCTAATAAAACCCACAATCATGAGTATTGCCTGGGAGTTCCGTGTGGCCACTGAAACGAATTATCAAACCCACCAGAGAAGTAGTGAGTGCCGTGGGAGGGACGGTCGGTGCCAGAGTGGTAAAGACGTTTGGAGGATGGCAGCACATTTGGCCTCACAGGCATAAGGCTTGTTGTTGATGGTGATTCTGTCTTCTTGCGAAGTGAGAGGTCAGAAGATGCTGCCTCCTTGCCCTGTTTGCACAACAGAAATTTATCCTTTCACAGTTTAGAAGGCTAGACGTCTGAATTCAGAGTGCTGGCTCTAGGCAAAGACTTCCCCTCTCTGTGTTTCCTGGTTCTAGGAGGTTCCCAGCGTAAGGACCCGAAGTCCAAGGGATGCACTACGCTCTCAGATGGTCTTTCCTTGTGGTATAGTAGGTTCCTCTCTGCTCACTTCTCTCTCCTTTAGTCTCTTGTAAGATGAAGGGTAATGTAGGCCACACCCTAGGGAAACTCTCCTTACCTGGGATCAGGGCTGTGACCCAAGTAAGGGTGTTGCACCCACCTTAATCCCCTTACATGTATCAAGAGTGCTCACATCAGATCATATCATGGGGGAGGGGTGATGACATCACTACATAGCTACCACATTACATCATCACATAACTGCCATATTACATCATTGCACAACTGCCAAACCACTGAGAATCATGGCCCAGCCAAGTTCACACATATTTTGAGGGGACACAATTCAATCCATGACAAAACTCAATAGAAAAGTGGCAGGAGACAAAAGAGGGTATGCAAATGGCCAGTAAACGCATGCAGGGCCATCAACCTTACTAGTAATGAGGGAATGCAGACTGACCACACTGCAATTGCACGGTGTGCCCCCTAGATGGCTAACATGAAAAAGGCAGAAAAGACCCATTTTTTGGGGGGGGGGGGGACAAAGCGGTAAGAACAGGCAGGATTGTAAGTGATTGCAATCACCTTGGAAAACTTCCTGGCGCTTCTAAAGCACAACAGAGACAGAGCCTTTGGCCCAGTGACTCTACTACTGAGTGAACACCCGAGAGAAACGTGAATACGTGGTCACCAGGACACACCGCATGCTACGATGCTCATGCTGGTGCTGGCTGTCAAGTCAATTCTGACTCACGGCAAACCCATGTGCTACACGGTAGGAATGCTCCATAGGGTTGTCTTGGCCGTAATCTTGTAAGAAGCAGATTTCCAAGCCTATCTCCTATAGTAACGTCCTGAAAGAAGTGCAGCCAGAATGCTCCTTGGAAGAGAGAATGGCCAGATTTCGTCTCACCTACTTTGATCATGTTGTCAGAAGGGACCATTCCCTGGAGAAGGATATCATGCTTGGTAAAGTGGAGGGTCAATGAAGACGGGGAAGGCCCTCAATGAGATGGATTGACACAGTGCCAGCAACTATGGGCTCAAATATGGCAAGGACTGTGAGGCTGGCACAGGACCAGGCAGTGTTGCATTCTGTGGTATGTAGGGTCACTGTGAGTCAGAGACAACTCACCTAAAAATAACAACAACGTGGGTTTGAACCAACAATCTTTGACCCTAGCAATTGAGTAGAAACTTTTTGCCAGTGAGGGACCTCTATGTATTGAAGGAAGAAGTCGAGGCTACACTGAAGGAATTGGCAAAAAAAATTAAAAAAAAAAAAAAAAAACAAGGTTCCAAGAATTGATGAAATACCCATTGAGATGTTTCAACAAACAGATGCCGTGCTGGAGGCACTTACCCATTTATGCTAAGAGATTTGGAAGAGACAGCTACCTGGCCAACTGACTAGAAGAGATCGATATTTGTGCACATTCCAAAGAATAGTGGTCCAACAGAATGTTGAAATTATTGAACATCAATATCACATGCAAGATTTTGCTGAAGATAATTCAAAAATGGTTGTAGCAGTATACTGACAGGGAATTCTCCAGAAACACAAGCTGGATTCAGAAGAGGGTGTGATGGTTCTGTTTGTGTGTCAACTTGGCTGGGCCTGGTTGAGTGGCTGGGCAGCTGGTGGTAGTTATTCCCCATGATGAGACTAGCAATCAGCTCCATGGTGGGATCTACCACAAGCAGCTGAGTAGCTGTCTTTGGGATGTGGTCTGCTTCCTGTAGATAAGGAGAAGCCTTGGGAATGGTCTCTAGCCTGTGGCACGCTTGGACTCTGCATGTAGCCGTGTCGTTGCTCAGCAGCCTGCTATGCTCTGCCGACCTTGAGACTTACAATGGACTTAAGTTAATGGCCTGCCATGTGGTTTGGTAACATCGGGACTGTGCCTTTTTACTTGTCAACCTTTGGAATTCTCAGCCTCAGCAGCCAGCAGCTGTGTGAGTGAAGAAACGCCTCTAGCTCCAGTGGGCCGGGAGCAGGAGGCAGAGCTAGACCCCAAGGTTGAGGGACTTTCACCCAGCCCCTAGAGCCTGGCACTTTGAACTTGGACTTAAAGCCTGCAAATTGTAAGAATAAACTCCTGTTTGTTACAGCCATCCCATTTGTGGTATATTCTTGTCAGAGCAGCACTAGGGAACCAGAACAGAGGGCATGAAATGAAGGATATCATTGCTGATACCAGATAGATCATAGCTGAAAGCAAAGACTATCAGAAAGATGTCTACCTGTGTTTTATTGACTATGCAAAGGCATTTTACTGTGTGGATTATAACAAATTATGGATAATTTTGCAAAGAATGGAATTCCAGAACACTTAATTGTGCTGATGAGGAAACTGTACATAGACTAAGAGGCTGTCGTTTGAACAGAACAAGGGAATAACGCAAGGTTTAAAATCAGGAAAGGTGTACATCAGGGTTGTATTCTCTAACCATACTTATTCAATCTGTATGCTGAGCAAATAATCCAAAAAGCTGGATTATATGAAGAAGAACGCAGCATGAGGATTGGAGGAAAAACCACTAACAATATATGCAGATACACAGACGGCACAACCTTGCTTGTTGAAAGCAAAGAGGACGTGAAGCACTTACTGATGAAGATCAGAGACCACAGCCTTCAGAATGGATTACACCTCAATGTAAAGAAAACGAAAATCGTCACAACTAGACCATAAGCAACATCATGATAAAAGGAGAGAAGATTGAAGTTGTCAAGGCTTTCATTTTACTTGGATCCACAATCAATGCCCATGGAAGCAGCAGTCAAGAAATCAAATAACATATTGCATCAGGCAAATCTGCTGCAAAAGACCTCCTTAAAGTGTTTAAAAGCAAAGATGTCACTTTGAAGACTACGGTGTATCTTACCTAAACCATGGTATTTTCAATCACCTCATGTACATGCAAGATGACTCCTAGAAGTGCAGCCAGACTGCTCCGTGGCTCCTTGGAAGTGAGGATGGCCTGACTTCGTCTCATCTGCTTTGGTCATGTTGTCAGAAGGGACCATTCCCTAGAGAAGGATGTCATGCTTGGTAAAGTGGAGGGTCAGCAAAAAAGGGAAGGCCCTCAACGAGATGGATTGACACAGTGGCTGCAACGATGGGCTCAGGTACAGTAGGGATCGTGGGGCTGGCACAGGACTGGGCAGTGTTTCATTCTACCGTACATAGGGTCGCTATGAGTCGGAGACAACTCGACGGCACCTAACAACAACAACAGCCGGAAGAACCAACAAATCTGTCTTGGAAGATGTAAAGCCATAGGCTCCTTAGAAGTAAGGATGCCAAGAATGCATCTGAAGTCCTTTGGACACGTTTCCAAGAGGGACCAAGCCCTGGAGAAGAACATCATGCTTAGCAGAGGGTCAGTGAGAAAGGGGAAGACCCTCAATGAGATGGATTGGCACAGTGGCTGCAACGATGGGCTCAGACACAGCAATGATTGTGAGGCTGGCGCGGGCCCAGGCAGCATTTCATTCTGTGGTACACGGTGTCACTGTGAGTCAGAGCTGACTCCACGGCACCTACCAACAACAGTGTTCATGGAAGCAGACTGCCACATCTCTCTCCCGCTGGTGAGCTTGAACCGTCGACCTTTCAGTTAGCACACGAGTGCTTCACCATTGCACCAAACAGCCTGGTAGATTCGCACGTGGAAATACTACACAGCAATGAGAATGAATAGCGCGGAACACGACATGGATGAGTCCCACACACATAATGTTGAGCAAAAGAAGCCAGAGGCCAAAGAGAACATACTGCACAGGATTCCATTCACATGAAGGACAACACCTGCGGGGGAGGTCGGCCAGGTACAGGAGGGATCGGGGGAGCAGGACAAGTGTGTCCTTGTCTGGGTGCTAGAGACACAGCGTGGTCATTCATGTCCACTAGGAACTGTGCTGTTTGATTTATTTTCATGGACGGGGAAGAGGGGACCACCGTGGACTTTCTAGCCAATATGTGTTCTTTTATATCTATGTAATACTTAGCTAAAACTTGTACGTATTCCCAAAATGAGTAAACTATACGTGCTATTGCTGACTGCAATAGTCAGCTCTGGCTCATAGCAATCTCGCACATAACCAATGAAATGCTGCCCAACCTTCTCTGTGATCCATAGGATTTTCGTTAACTTCGTTGGAAGTAGATTGCCAGGCCTTCCTTCCTCGTCCATCTCAGTGGGCTTCCACTGACAGATGGGGGGGTGGCTGTACTTGCAGTGTGTTGGCTGGGAATCAAACCCAGGTGTCCCACATGGAAGCAAGAATTCTGCCATTAAACCACCAATGAGTAATCATATAGAATAATTGCAAAAATATCCGTGGCAAAAACAAGTTCAGAATGTGTATTGTATGCCAACATTTGTGTAAAGAAAAAAAAAAAACAAGGATATGTAGATATACATACATACATATGAATAGTCCATCCCTGGAAAAACATCCAACTGGAAGCCTGCATAAAGGTTTTACCCAATAAATATATTTGTTAAATTATTAAATAGTCCACACGTATGAAAATGTTTAAGAAAAAAAAAAAAGACCAGCATTTGGAAAGTGAGGTGAAGATTAAGAGTCACACAGAACGCCTCAGCCAAAAGCTGTCTGGCTTTGTCGGGGGGTCTCTCAGGGTCACAGAACTGGAAGGAACCACCCTGGGGGATTCATCTCCCCACACACACACAGATAAGGAAACAGACCCAGAGAAGCCCACCCTACCCCCACACACGTCTGGGTTTTGCCTGTGGGTATGCTGTGCTGTTTTGGAGTTGAAGGCTGTGTGATATTGGCACCTCACAGTCTCTCTAAGCCTCAGTTCCCGGGTCTGAAAAATGGGGTAATAACCCCCACTTCATACCACGGCCCTGAGAACACCGGATGGGTGTGGAGTGGCTGGAGGACAGCAGGAGCTCCCTAAGCGGCCGACACGAGAGCCCCTGCCTGCACTGCTCCGAGATGGACACACGGTGGCGCCCGACCCCTACGGGTCCAGCGAGGTCCCAGCTTCTGACTGGGATAGTTAACGGAGGGCGCAACGAATTACTAGAAGGGACAAGGGAAAAGCTCTCCACATGGGATGAAGCCCTGGCTGGAATTTTTTAATTCTCTACCGCTGATCCCCAACCCCTATAGCGTACCCCCAACTTCTGAGCCCATCATCTCCTTCCCAAACCCTAACCCCACCACACCCACTCCTCTCCAAACACCCAGGCTCTTCACCCCTCCACACTTCGGCTCTTGATGGGCCCTGTCTCTGGGCTGCACTTCCCTCATGGGTCTCCCAGAGAACTCCTATACACCCTTCAAAGCCCTGTAACATCCTCCCCTCCTAAGTATATTAGTACATCCTGAATCAGTGGCCCCTCATACACCCAGGTCCTCCCTGTCCCTCAGCCCAGTGTACTGTCACTGCCAGTTCAGCTGCATGTCCCCACATTAATCCTCATCTCCTGACCTTTCCATCCCCAGTTCAGGCCTCCCCATCTCTCACCAGGACCCTCATGCCTCCTCACTGGTCTCCCTACCCTAGTCTACCTCCTCCAATCCATCGTCGCTCTGAAGTCTTGGCACTCAGATCTACCTGCCACTCTCTCACTCTAAAGCCTTCCATGGCTCCCTGCTGCCTTGAGAAAAATATCCGAAGAGAATGACAGTACCTTCAAGTACCCTCTCTGCCCTTCCTCATCTCTCTCCCCATGGATTCCTAGCACACCCATGTTCCAGGCCTCCATACTGGCCTATCCTTCACCGGATGCCTTCTCCCCCGTCTTCCAGGCATGCTCCTCTGTATGTCTCAGGCAGCCCCCACCCCCATTGGTACCTGACATTCAGCAATAACAAGAGCCAACACATCACGAGGCTGACTAGATGCCAGGCACGCTAACGCTGTGAATTCTCCTAACGAGCCCAAGAGAAAGGCACCATCACTATGTCCAGTTCACAGATGGGAAAACTGAGGTCCAGATGAAAGAAGAACCATTCAGAAGGGCACAGGGATCTGAGCCCAGCCTGCACTCCATTCCTCCTGGCTGTTGTTGTTGTCAGGTGCCATGGGGTCCAACTCATTGCAACCCCATGTACAACACAAAAACACTGCCCAGTCCTTCACCACCCTCACAGTCTTTGCCATGTCTAAGCCCACTGCTGCAGTCACTGTGTCTCATTGAGGGTCTTCCTCTTTTTCACCAAGCATGATGTCCTTCGGGGACTAATCCCTCCTGAGAACATACGTGTCCAAAGTTGTTGAAATGAAATCCTTGACAACTTAATTTTTTTCCCCATCTACTAGGATGTAGATGTCTTAATGGTCCAGTAGTGATGATGTTTGCTTTCTTTTTTTTTTTTTTTTTTAGGATTTGGGTGAAGATTTACAGAGTAAATTCACTTATCATACAGCAGTTCACATATACTTTGTCTCATGTCATTGACCAAAATTTACAATGCAGCAGCTCCCCTCCCACTTCCTCCCCATAGTTACCTCCTCCCAGTGTCCATCCCTTCATACTCTTCTGCACCCTGAGCTATCTCCCTGTGCATAAGCAGCCCTTCCTTCTCCCATGATCGTTCTCTCCAGGGCGTGTGTCTACTTGAGGTAAATGTTTAACTCACATGCCTGTACTTTGTTTGGCTGGAAACCACAGTTGTGGGTTCAATTCCAGACCTGAAGGGCAACTAGGGGCCATAGTCTCAGTGGTTACACCAGGCTCTATTGGACCAGCAAACCTGGTCCCCACCTTCTTTTTTTTTTTTGCCTCCAAACGATTTTGAGTTTTGTTCCACATTGTTCTCCCTCTTTATGCAGGATCTCCTACATCCCTTCCAAGTGGATGGCAGTGGTAGCTGGGCACCATCTAGTTCTTCTGGTCTCATAGTTGTATAGGTTGCAGATCGGATGGTGTACCAGTCGCTAGGACTGATTGTTTCCATTAATTTTGGTGATGTTTGCTTTCTTGATGTTGAGGTGCAATCCATACTGAGGGCTGTAGTCTTTGATCTTCATCAAGTGCTTCAAGTCCTCTTTGCTTTCGGTAAACAAGGTTGTATCATCTGCGTATCTCTGGTTGTTAATGAGTCTTTCTCCAATCCTGATGCCGAGTTCTGTTTCATATAGTCCAGCTTCTCGAATTATTTGCTTAGGGGCCCCAAAACCATTGAACTAAACTTTTGAAACGTTCCCTGACTCAACTGCAACCACATACTCTTGAGTTAATCACTTTCTCCTCTGTGGGCTCTGGATTTTGTAACACGCCCCACACTGTGCTGTGTAGGAATTACCAAATTGCACCGTGATCTCTCCACCAGGAACTCCTGGACAGCTTCACCCTCCTTTACTAGGTCCTGGTCAATGGCTCAGTGGAGGGGTTCCATAAACTGGAATGAATGAGTGAACGGTTTCCAGGGAAGTGGGGTCCTGGGGCTTCTCCTCTTCTTGAAGAAAAAGAAAAGAACAAATTATGCAAATGCTCTGAGGCCAGGCCCTCTGTATTCGCCCATTCCCCTCCCGCTCTCCCTCCTCCTTACTCCTGCCCCAGCCCAGGTTTCTGGGAGCACCTGGAGTCACCAGAAAATGCCCCAGGCTCTCCAGTGGCCCGTTTCCTGATTACCTAAGAAACTGGGGCTTTAAGCTGGTGAATCACCCACAGTTACCAGCCAGGGCGTGTTAGGGTGTCAGGCCAGCAGGGAGGGAGAAGCCAGGGTCCCAACCAGCCCCCCTACCTCCCACCACCCCCTACCTGGCCGTCACTATCCTGACCTCTCCAGTCACTGGACTCTTGGTGATGCATAGCTGGGAAAGGGATCCCAAGCCAACTGCTTACAAGTCACGGGGCTGCTGTGACCTTGGCAAGTTTCTTAACTTCCGTAGGCCTCAGTTTCCCTGAGTACCTACTGCGTGACAGGACTGGGTGAGGATGATATGAGCTGGCACATGTGAGGTTTTTGGAACAGCACCTGGCCCACGCTGTGCACTCAGTGGCGTTTTCATAGAGGGGTGCTTTAATGGGGTCGCTTCCAAGGAGGAAGTATTTGGGGTGAATCATTGTCATCACAGAGGAATGTTCTCCACACCTGTCTGGTCTCAGGCTCAGGCCTGGGGCCTTGCTGTAAATCCCAGCAGGTCCCACCCCAGACCTGCCCTGCCAAAGTCTGGGGGAGGGAAGCTAACATTGTTAACAAGCCCCCACCCAGGGGGGTTGGATCAGGCAAGTGTGGGAATCTCAGAAGCAGAGTATAGGGTCTTTTTTTCTTTTTTTTAAACTCTTCTTCTAAAACACCTTTTACCCTTCTATAGGCAAAGACTCGGGCTTTCTCTTTTTCCCAAATACCACCTGCATTGCCACTCACTAGGACCAGACCCGTAGCTGTCCAGTCACTCCTCGTGACGCTATAGGATGGAGTACAACTGCACCATAGGATTTCCAAGGAGTCCTGGTGGTGCAGTGGTTACAGCGCTCCACGGAATAAAAGATGGGGCCATTGGCTTCCATAAATCGGCTTCCACCCTGTCTTACATTTACAGGGTCGCTATGAGTCGGAGACGACTCTTTGCGGAAGCAGACGGCCACCCACATAATTTCTCTGCCACGGAGCGGCTGGTGGGTTTCAACAGCCCACCTTTGGGCTAGCAGCCAAGCGCTTAACCACTGTGCCACCCCAGGGGCGGTGCTAAATTCACTCATTCCACCCACCAACAGCCTTCTGAGGCAGGTTCTCCTTAGCTCCATTTTTCAGAGCCGGAAATTGAGGTTCCGAGAAATTAAGTCTGCCAATGTCTGGAAGTTACTAGAGCCTCCTCGCTCCAAGCGGCGCCTGCGCGCGGGGGAAGCGCCTGCGCTGCGCTGGGCGGGGAGCAAGGCCTCGCGGGGCCGGGAAAGCCTGCGGTCGGTCCCCAGGCCCTGCCCCTCGCCGCCACCGTCCCCGCCCGGCCTCGCCTCGAATCGCGGCCAATCCTTCACGAGGCTCCCTCCGCCTCCCGGTCCGGGCGAGAGAGGGCGCTCGGGAGCCACGACCGGAAAGCCCGAGCTGCAAGGCCGGGAGGATGACCTCATCCTTCCCCAACAGCCCTCCTCTCCCACAAACCTCCCCTCGCTCCCGCGTCCTTCTGGGGCGTCCTTCTCCAGCCTCATCATATCATTAACATTTCTCTGGAAACGTCAAGCCTTTGACCAGGCTGTTTCCCAGGCCAGGCACACCCTGTCCTGACTTTAGGCTTCCAGTATGAGAGGGTGGCCTCCTCCAGGAAGCCTTCGCTAACTGCCTCTTCTGGACTAGCTCACTACGCGGTGCCCCCACTGCCCTCTGGGGGACAATTGCTTCATGTAGGACACTGACCACGTTGTGCCCTAAAGGTCGGCCTCAGCTAGGAGGTGGGGAGGGCAAAGCACAGGAATTTCTCTAGCTTCCAGGATAGGCGAGTCTCCCTCCTGGCTAAATCAATACCTGAAGTCAAGTTAGGCAATCTGAGGGCGGATTGGCCAGCCTGGAGAGGGCGGGACAGTACTGCCCCCCCAGGAGCACCTTAAGCTGGTCCCACACCTCCATCAGGACCTCTAGTGGCTAAGGCATTTAACTGCTAACATGAAGGCTGGTGGTTCAAACCCACCAGCCACTCTTTGGTAGCAAGATTGGGCAGTCTACTTCCATAGTGATACTGCCTTGGAAACCCAAGGAGGCAGTGAGGTTTTTTTTTTTTTTTTTTTTTTTTTTTGACACCTCTATCTGCCCTGCCTGGACCTGGGCCTTCTAACATAGAGGGTTCTTAGGGATGTGAGGTGACATCTTGACCCAAGGTCTCCATTGAGAGGTGAGAACACCACAAGGAAAAACAAGGAAATGATGTGCAAATGGAGCTGACCCAGGAGCTGGGCTGCACCCCCGCCTGCTGTGTGACTGCTGGAGAAACTGAGGCGTGAGGTGCCAGAGCCCATCTTGCTAGAAATGCAGCCTTAGAGGCCCAGAGGGGCAGGAAGGGTTCTGGTCTCCTCCTTCCTTCCGGGTCTCTGTCGGACCCTCCACCATCAAAGCATAGGGAGGGTTCTGGAGAAAGGAGGAGGAACTGAGGCAGGGCGCCCAGACTTGTAAGGGGGTGATGGGCCCTGGAGCCACGGTTGCTTCCTGCGGACATTGGGCTCTCACATTCCAGATCACTCCCCAGACTCCTCACTCCTCCCACCCCTCGCTGGGAGGGGAGAAGGCTGCCCGGGGGCCTGGCCGGGCTGTGAGGCCAGGAGGACTCCCCTGGGAAGGAACTGGGGTCTAGACTAGAAGGGCTGTCCTGGGAGGACTGTCCCGGCACCGCCCCGGGGGTCTGTGTGCTTCTGGTAAACAGGAAGCCCGCCCCCCCCCCCCCCCCCCCCCCCCCCCCCCCGCAGACAGGCCCTGTGTGTGCAGAAGCTTAGCTAGGCTGGCCCACAGGCCCCGGGCCCTTGACCTCTCGGGCCCGCATTTCCTGTTAGCTGGGCCAGAGGAGAGAGAGGGAGATGGAAGGACCTGGGATGGGGGAGAAGCCTGAGGGAAGGACTACAAAGGAGAAAAGACAAAGAGGGCTGAGGGGAGAGACGCCAGAGCAGTCCTGGCACATAGTAGGCACTTAGTAAATAATTTGTGGCTTGGGGTTGGGTAAGGAGGAGAGGGGCCGATTGGGGAGAGCAACATAGTGGCAGGGAAGAGGCTGGAGGTTCCCACTTCACTCCCACCAAGTCCTGACACATAGTAGATGCTCAATAAATATTTGAGACCTATGTTGGGCCTTGGTGTGTGGGGGGATGTTCTTGGGATAGTGTGGTTTTGGGGTAGGGGGGAATGAACACCCCCCCTTGCCCTGGCCACAGGGGTAGACAACCCCTAAGCCACAGCAGCCCCCCTACATTGTCCCTATCTGGCCCCCACCCCACCCCACAGCCAGCTAGGCCAGGCCACTGTCTCAAGGCCCTTTATTTAAAAAATCTCTGTGGTACTCCCGCCCCAAACCCAAGGAGCAGTGCCAGCCACAGCTCAGCCCTGAGGCCTCCGCTCAGGGCCCCAGGCGCCGGGGGTGGGGCATCCGGCCACCTTGCAGCTGCCGAGTCAGGGGAGGGCTGCCAGGCCAGCAGGCCAGCCTGCAGGGCAGAGAAGCCCCTGGGGCTTCCCCAACACTGGGCAGAAGAGTCAGCTTTCGGTAGAGGGGCAGTGGCCACTGGGGAAGCAACTGGGTTTTGTTATGTTGAATCCAGTGGCTTATTTATTATTAAAATGAATCTGTTTCCCCACATGCCACCAAACAAATATGTGTAAGGAAGAGGTGCAGTGCTCCACAATGTGGGGTGACGAGGAGTAAGCCGTGCTTGTGCTTTTTCTTTTCCAGGGAGGTGCCATTGCAGTTCTAGAAAGATTCCTGGACTGGAATCCAAGAGACCTGGTTTCCCTGACCAGCTGTGTGGCCTTGGGCAAGTTGCTTGACCTCTCTGAGCCTCAAGCACCTCCCCTTCGAGGTGGGGCAATAACAGCCATCTTAGGAGACTGTGGTCCTTCGGTCAGCAACACATCAGGTACTGTTCTCAGCTCAGAGGACCCTGCAGCAAACCAGACGGGCACGGTTCCTGCCTTCACAGAGCCTATGTACTGGGGTGGGGGGTGAATGATCCCCACATGACAAGGTCATGGCAGTCACAAAGACATAAAGGGGGTTGGAAGGGACTGTGCTAAAACGGCGAGGGGTGTTGTTGTTATGTGCCATCGAGTCGGACCCAACTCATAGTGACCCCTCCTTGGGTTTCCGAGGCAGTATCACTACAGAAGTAGATTGCCCCATCTTCCTTCCAAGGAGTGGCTGGTGGGTTTGAACTGCCAGCCTTCTGGTTAGCAGTCAAGTGCCTTAGACACTACGCTACTAGAGCTCCCAGCAGGGTAGGGGTGAGGTAGACAGAAAGGTTGATGTAGGTGGGTGGTCCAGGTAGGCCTCTGGGTTGGTGATGTTTGAGCTAAGAAAGGGGCAGGTTTGCACTTCTGGAGGAAGAGGTTCTGGGCAGAGGGAACAGCACTGCGAAGACCCTGAGGCAGGAGGTGGTACAGTTGGCCTTGAGTTAAGGAGTGTGAAAGGAATTTGTAAACTGTTAAATGTGGTGCACCTGGAAGGAGATGGTACTATCATGGAGGGCACTACATCAAGTCTGGGGAGGAGGCAGGGATGTCAGGCCGACTCGGGCCAGCTGAGAGCCCCTGTATCCTGACCCCACCACTCACTCCACCTACAGAGGGACTGTCTGGCAGCCGTGTGTGTGTGTGTGTGTGTGTGTGTGTGTGTGTGTCCATCCTTGAACTTCAAAGGGCGTTCACTCCAGCCCAACCCATTTCCTCCTTTGATCCTCCCAACAGCTGTGAGGTTGAGCAGGCGGGGAAAATTATCATTACACCCATTTAATGGATGAGGAAACTGAGGTGGGGGTTAGGGGTTGACTGAGATCACCTCGCTCATTAATGGCAAAGCTAAGCCACACAGCCTAGTTCCCAGGCTAGTCTGTCTACTCTGCGGTGGCGCCTTGAGTGTCCAGCCTTGATCCTCCTCCTCCTCCCCCAAAAAAAGCATTTTCCTGCCTCACCCCTGCATCTATCCCAGCACCCACAAACCAATGAGCTCCTCTCAAACACACAGACTCCACCAGGAGGTGCCAGCCACCACCACCCCAGGCTCTAGCACAGAAGAATGTGGCCGGACCCTCCCCGTGGGAGCACGGGCCAGCAGGCCTTGGCAGCAGAGTGGCCGGCTGAGTCAACAAGAGGCTGGCAGGGGCTCAAGCTGCCCACCGAGGCGGGGTCAGAGACCTGAGGGGGCTGCCCCCCCCCCCACAAGACCTTTCCCCAGCTTGTCTGGGCACCAGCCAGCCCAATTAACCTCTGCAGCCACAACAAGGGAATAGCCTGCTGCCAATCCATTGGTCAGTCACTCAACAGCAGAAAAGTGCTGTGGAACCTCAGGTAAGTGACTTCACCTCTCTGGGTAGCTTCCTCACCTGTGAGATCTTCTACTTACCTGCAAGGATATTGCTAGAATTTTTATGAATTAATAAAAGTTACCCTGCACATAAGGCACTCTGGTGGCACAGTATGTAAGGCATTTGGCTGCTAACCAGAAGGTCGGTGTTTCAAACCTACTAGCCACTCCACAAGAGAAAGATGAGGCAATCTACTTCTGAAAGATTTACAGTCTTGGAAACCCAATGGGGGTCACTATGAGTCAGAATCAACTCAATGGCAGTGGGTTTGTTTTTGTTTTGTTTTTTATTCTGCACATAAAACACAAACCCACTTCCATCAAGTCAATTCCAACTCACAGCAACTCAAAGGACAGAGTAGAACTGCCCCACAGGGTTCCCAAAGCATCAAATCTTTATAGAAGTAGACTGCTTCATCTTTCTCCCACTGAGCAGCTGGTGGTTTTGAACCGCCAACCTTTCACTTGGCAGCCAAATGCTTTAACCACTACACCAGCACGCAAAACCCAGCAAACCATTGCATCCTGCTCTTTGAGCTGGGGATGTAAATTCCTAAGTTCAAATGCAGTAGTCATGCCCTGTTGCCAGGTGCCAAATGAGTACATGAGTGCTTGCTGTAAGTGACAGTTACACCCACAACACAACTCAGAAATGTACAAGGAGCCTGAACATCTGTGAGGTTGGTGACACACACCCAAACTGTGTTTGTAAAGCTCCTGTCCCAGGCGTCATCTTTGATGACAAGCATTGTGGTTCCCATTTTACAGATGAGAAGGGTGAGGTGGGGGAGGACAAAGAAGTTGCCCGAGTTCTACAGCTGGAACTAGTTGGAGCCAGGTCTTCCAGCTCCTGGGTAGACATTTGGGAAGGGGGTTTTCCAGGGATATCTCTGCAGCCCCAGGAGGTGGAAG